CGACTCTTTCCAAAGTGAGGTTTTTAGTTGCTGATACCGGCCATTTACATTTTTGCGTCACTCAAAGGCGAGGGTTTCGAGCTTTTCTTCTCCTAATACCATTTCAGAAATTTCTCCTGACAACATTTTTAGAAATAGGAAATGTCACTGTGCGACCATTTCTTCACTGCAAAACGGTTTCATAACTTGCGCAGTTTGAGAAAGGAAGCTTTGTTCCTGTTTATCAACTGAAAATTTCACTTCGACTTGGATAGAACATAGCCATCCAGTGAGGGTACCGACGACTGTGTCGAAGTGGAAACGAAACAAGGCCAGCTACGATCAGTCAGATCACTCCAAGGTAAACTGTGCATTCACTTTCGTTGATCCCGCCCTTTGCTAACCATAAGTGTGAGAATTATGCAGCCACTTGGTCCGGTCAACATTCATGAGAATGGGGCTGGAGTACAGCGATGCCGGAGCGAAGACTCCGTACTCCGCTCGCGATGCCGCACAGCCAGCCACACGATTTACCATAGCCAAACACGCTACTTGTCCGCGTCCTCTCAATTCTCGTTGCTCTCCGCTGAGTGGATATTTCGCCACAGGGCCTTGATTAGACGCAAGTACTGCACATCCAGAATAAAGTGCGTCAGGAGCGTGGATATGGCACTTACCCTGCAACCCTGTTCCCATGCACCTCCGAATGGGGAACATGGCACTGTAGCAGGTCCATTCCTCTTCTCCATTGAAAGGACGTCTTTGGAAGGAAGTGTGGAGTTTGTCTTTTGCAAGAAGCGTGTCACCAGAGATGAGGACTTTTTCTTAAAGTCTACATCAAAAAGTCCGCGGATAATTTGCGGGACCAAAATACCGAAGATATGAACACCACGACAGGACCATGTAAGCCCACAACTAGCGAAGACTGGGTGCGCCTAGTTGGTACCGTCGAATGGAAAAATTTTCACGACGCAACGTACGTACAACTGACAAAGATTGCCAGCTAGTAGTTCTGACTCGAAGAACCCCTGGAAGTGAAACTTCGCCACGGTAACCTGTTTCTGGAAGCCCTCATTGTTCTAAATGGAATATCCGTTCAAAAGGTCATCCCATTCAAAAGTGCCGTGACATATAGAGGAATGGCAGAAAAGCAAAGGGGATAGGGAAGCGGGCTACTATACCATTTGGAGGCTAGTACCTTCAGCTGTGTATCTGTGAAATTTGGCGAACCTACCCACAGAGGAAGTTCTCGAGAAATTGAAAAGAAGCCCGAGTGGTGAAAATCAGCGCCCGATTTTCAAATCAGACGTCATAAGAGGGAAGTGCGCTGCTCAAATTCGACCGGCGCCGGACCAGTAGTTGTGTGTAATGGTGTTCTCGATACAAGGTGGAAGGTTTGGTTCAGGAGCCCGAAGAAGGAAGAAAGGAAAAAATTGTTGTCGTGGATGGTCCCATAATGTTCATCCTGCACAAGAAAAAAGGGTGGATGAAGTCAAGCGCTGAATGTCTGATCCCAGAGCCTGGACCCTTGTCGAGCTTCCCCGCGAGTCTGACATCCCAGCTGCAACTGCTGCCCGAGTTATGTCCGATAAACTGAGGATGGTCAAGAGGGTGTGCGCATGGGTACCTAATTTTCTTGTAGAAGCACGAACGCAGTACCTATTCTGACCTCTAGCAGTAATGTTCTCAGCATGAGATGTCATTCACGACTGTGAAAACGCACCCCGGCCCTAGATGAAATATGGGTGGTCTTGGACTCCGAGCCAAAACTCACAATCGTCAACACCCGAGTTCTACCATGAGGGGTTACGTGGGCGCAAGTGGATGATCATCATAGCGAAGGATTCCCACACTGTGGCTTTCAGGCGGCTCTATACAGAGAATAAAATCGTCGCTGTCGGTGTATATTGCCTGTTCCTCGGCAATCAGATCGACAAATGGATGATACCACACAACTACAAGAAGGCCACCGTTGCTCGTCATAGTGCCAGACCCCGAGTAACTGTATTGTAGGGCAGTGCTGGGACACAAACAATACTGAGACCTGGGTTCAATCGCCCCATTCGCCCAACTAAATCGATTCCAACTGTTCTGGTCAGTCGAGGGTACTCTCCGACGGCAAACGCTACAATGTTTTGTCATTCGCCGAAATTGGCATCAACAGCAATTTACTCGCACTTGTTGAAAAATCGAAGGTACCAGAGGTCCAAAGGCTTTCGGGGCACTGGGAGCGGGTCATTGGTGAAGGAGGGATTTACTTAACTTGAAGCCAAAATATTACTTTTTTTATCTATCTCCTCTTTAGGGTTTTTACTTCGAAAACCGACCGGCGCATTTGAATGGGATAGAGCCTAATAAACCCTTCCCATTAGCTACCGCATGCGAAAATGGGAAATGTCAGGCTCGACCAAAAAAGGGTTTAAGGCCAGTGAGGAGGGTAACTGGTAAGGGTAGACTTGGCATCAGCTCGATCAGACTCCTAGGAGGAGCAAAGCTTTGTAGATCTGGGGTAAACGAAGACCAGGTGAGAGAGAGAGCGCGTGAAAAACGCCATTATGTGGACACCTTTTACGTGAAGCTGTCAATTTTCACATGAAGTTGTCAGCGGCAGATTTGGAAGTTAACTCGTCATATTATTGGTGGAAACTCACGTTCCTTCTGAGGATTCAGTGTAGTAGTACCAACGAAAAAAACCACTTTTGAAAGAGGAGCATTTTTTGCGCAGCTAAATTTTTTAGCCACCATGTATCAACCAATATGTATCTGTGCCACTCACATGTTGTGTGGCCCGAAGGTTCAGCAAGGGAGCACTTGGTGTTGCGACCCGCTAGATTTGTAGCCAGTCTACATCGCAACTGGAGGTAGCCAGTGGGATATAACAACAACTAACAAAGCTAGAAAGTATATGAAGCTTTGTTACAAACTCATTATATGAAGTGGCCAAGGTAGCACCCTACTACCGTTGCACAAGTGTTATACAAGACCCCACTTAGATGCACCGACTGTCAGTGTGATGAGTATGTGCAGAGGTTGCTGGAAAATGAGGCAGGAGCAGGTGCCAGGGACAGATAGTCGTCAGCCAATACAGTGATGAAAAGCAGCGACGGACATAGCGCAGTCATGAATGAATGACGACTCACCTCAGGCGTAGTGGTTTCGGTTGTGGTAGTCGTAGCGGCGGTCATAGTCCTAATGGTTGTGGAAGAGGTTAAACTCGCGTAGTATCTGTGAATGCCACAGTACTAGTGGTGTCCGGTGGTGTTGTGGTAGTGGTAGCAGTTGTGGTAGTCCGTTCAGTCGCAGTTGTCGGAGCAGTTGTTGTTATCGTGGTAGTTGGGAGAGTCTCAGTAGTTGATGACCTGAATAGGAAACTATTGAGTTGACACATGAACGCCTTTTTTTCCGAGTCAAAAATTGAGATGTTATGCTCATGATAAGCTTTTTTAGCGAGCCACTTCCTACCGATTCGCGAATGGCTGAAATGGAGTTGAGGAAAAACAAGCTTTGCTGAAAACTCCGAGAGGCTGAAGCTAGGTGAGTGGTAGACAAAGCGTCGCAACTCTTGGGAAGGCTCATAGTCGGTTCAGAAAGCTCTCACATCTCATTGCGACTTCCGGACGCCCTGTTTTGTCTTATTTGAAGCTCGCTGAACCAGCTTATTCAAGAATGCCTGCACCTGATAGTAGGATTCAGTAAAGATCAAATGTCCTAACACTCTCCCAAAGTGTCACCATCACGTGCAGGGATGCTTGTGAACTTGCTATCGTAGTCACTGCTCATCTATTCCTAGAAGCTCAGACATAGACGTACAATCGGTGCGCTGCGTGACGCCTTTCCCAAGGAAGAGACCCTTATAAGGGCCTATCAAGCTGCAACATACCGACCCGAACGCCTACCGCGCCCGCCCGCCCACAAATGGACGACCGCACTGATGCTCGTATTGCTTCATTTGCGAAGTATGAAGCGAAGGATTGATGTGAAGCGGCCGCGGTGCTGCATGGATAGATAAGTACATACATGCAGCCGTACCCACCGTAGCATTTATTGGCAAGGTGCCTACGGGAAACTTGTCCGGAACTGCTTTCTGTGTCGTGTAAAACGAAGGCTTTTCTGCAGGTTTTGACCGTTTCACTTTATTGTTTCGCCATTTTCCCACTAACCTAAGAAGCACCCTGCTAGCATTTCAAGCAATGTACCAAACTATCGTACCATACGCCTATGGAGACCTCGCGATCAAGTAGTACTCAAAACGACTCCGTACCTTTTGAACTGTTATACGCGTTCAGTGGGAACATGCCACTTTTGTCCCTCAAAACGGCGAGATAAAGTAGTTAGAGACACGTGAGCGTGGCAACAGGTGCGAAATCATACTGTAGCTGTACGAGACAACAGCTCACAAGCCTCTATTACTACAACACCCGCGCGCACGTGTGGCACGCGGCGCTACTGGCACTTCGCCATCTTCGGTTATCAGCGCGTTCCATAGCGATTAAGCGCAAACCTCGCACCCGCTGGACATAAATTGAAGACAACTTAGGCTGTTAGGGCTCCATGGTCTTTGCAAGCGCAATCTCAGTTGGGAGAATGTGAAAAAACACAGAAGAGCAGCAATCCTTCAATGAGTTTCTTACTCTGCAAGAGATATACTTTTCTTTTGCTAGCGTGATTTCAACGAGGAGGATGTGAATTGAAGAGCATTTAGTGTGTTTCTCGGACTCACCTGACGATTTTTTTAGATGGGGTACTATTCAGCTGTTACTATCCCAATCTTCCGACATCAGACCAGTTTTTCTATCGTGCTTTTCAAGGAAAGGCTAAGCATTTCATTTCCTTCAACCTTCAAACACGAATTTCGCATCGCCAGAAAGTGTCTGGCGCTCACGCCACGGTCGCACGTCTCAAGCTTTGCGCTCCAATCGCTATGGAGAACGCGTCCTTCACGTCCGACATACTCGTCCATGACGCTGCCGCAATGCTGAGGGGAGGTCTGTGTTTAGGGTGTTCCCGAGGTTTTTTTGCTTCTTTTCCTACTGAACAGCTACTTATGGGCCACTGGTTCATGACTGAGCAGCAACTACCCGTAACACTTGATTGCGGGCATTGTCTTTTAGCAGTGCTAAGGGATAATCCTTCTCCATACACACAAAAATCGAGCTGCTTCTGCTGCCCCACTTCCTCAAGTCGAGCGGAAAATCGGAAAGAGAAAAGCTTATTTTCTTCAGCTTGACTCTCGGCGTCAATGTTATAAAAATCTAACTGATATTCAGCGAGCGGAAACCTGAGCATGTATCATGCATGAGGAGCAAGACACTTTCTCCTAGGCAGCACTGGAAGCGTTGGAATAGCAGTTTTCCTTTCACACAGCTTTTAATCTTGGCTTCGTTCATGGGACCAACTCAATATGTTATTTTATTCTATGTTAGAGAATACTCAATGCTACAAGACACATTCCACGATCACGTAGGTAAGGTTTCATTCGAATGACTCTGACAGCTCAGAGCGAGTGTTGCTCGCTGTTTCACTCATCTAGGTCCGAACCGATCAGACGCACTAATGCTGATGAATCCACTGAGAATAGCAAGTCTTCAGTACTTGTTTCCAATTTTCTCTTCGCTGGTTGGTCATTGACGTGTACATTGTTATATTCGTACATCACCTACTGCCAATTATGTCGTGGAATGTGCCTTTAAGAGTCTTTCCAAAAAAGAAGGTGACGTACCAAAACTTTTCAAAAAATTTCTTTGCAGCCTCCACATAAGACCGATCTGAAAATTGATCTGTTCCGCTTCATAAGAGAACATCTGAGCTGCTCCAGCAGTTTGGCAAATTTTATATTCATCACTTTTCAGAAGGAGATCTGCCTTCGTTATCTGATATTCGGCTAGGAGAGAGTAAAATAATTAATCTTGCTAGTTTTTATTTGTCATAATGCCTCAACAAAAGCAGTGTACAGGGGGGCCTAAAAAAAGTCATTTTGCCTCCATGACTTTCAAGGCGCTATAAGTTACACTTTATTAAATTTTTATCGGACATTTTTACTACCATATTAAAGAGCACATTAAATACTATAATGATACTCCGCCACAGCCTTCTGGAGGAGCGCCATCGAGAGATTCGGCCGCGCGAAAGTGAGTGGGTACCGGAGTTGAGCGAGATCGTTGATTTCTCCGCCACTGTAGACCACCAAGGCGCGGGTCGATGGTATGGACCGGCCGTACATGGAA